GTTTGTTCCTAGCAGACGCCTCTCTCAGCATGCATCTCTTTTAGACTCTCATCCCCAAGTGTGGCTAATGGAGGGAATCAGGGCCCTTTCCTCCTCCGTAAGCCACGTATCATGTTGCTCCCTTCTCCATTTCTCCCTGCATGCCCTAGGATGAAGAGAAGGTCTTCCTCTGAACCCCCTCTCCTTTGTTCTACCTCTCCCCTGCTCTGCCCAGCCGGATTTTGCCCTTCCCCAGTTTCCTCCACAGCCAACAGAGCCCCCCTCCCGCTCCTGGTCAGCCCTTCGGCTTCCTCCTGGGATGTAGACTCCAACAGGGGCAGGACACCCTGCCTCCAACTTCTCTTTCCTGTCTCCTCCCCGTCTTTAGGGCGTCCTAGACACGGCCCAGACCATCTGCGACGTGGCCGCTCGTGGGCACGAGCAGAAGGGCATCACGGGGGCTGTGGGCGGCGTCCTGCGGCAGATCCCTCCCACCGTGGTCAAGCCACTGATCGTGGCCTCCGAGGCCACCTCCAACCTCCTGGGCGGTATGCGCAACCAGATCAAACCTGATGCCCTGAAGGAAGAATCTCTCAAATGGCGCTTGGAAGAGACCCAGGATTAGCAGGGGGGGGTTCCTCCCCCCCCCATGGATCCAAACCACGGACCCAGGCCCGGAGGGTCATTTGCACAGCCCCGGGAGGGGTGGGCATTCCCGGGGGGGAAGGGGGGGGGGGCTTCAATACGGCCTCAACACCTGCACAGTTCGTGAGAGGTCAGCGGCCATCTCCTCCCGCCTCGCCCTTCTTTCTGTACTTTTGGGGGGGTCTCCTTCCCCCCCCTTCATTTGATGCATGGTCTGCAACTGTGTTTTCTCCACCCCCCACCCCCCCACACACACTAAAGCACTGGGTGGGGGGGAGGAAGAGGAGGAGGGGAGAGAAAAACAACTTTGAGATTAAATAGGATGTGACTCGTTTTCATGCTCTCGCTTGCTTGGATCCTGGTCAGATCCTGGCTTAATTGCGGGCAGGTGGGCTCTTTGGATTGGGGCCAGCCTGGAAAACCCCGATATTAACGGCCGTGGCGTTTGCCTTCACCCGGTTCCTCCGCGGCCCACGTGGCAGGAAGAGGAACCACCGGACAGGTTTCCAGACCAGGTGGGGGCCACGCTGGGTTGCCATCGCTGTGATTCCAACAGGCGTGGGTTTTTGGTTTTTTTGTTTTGCAAAGGAGCCGAGTTCGAAAGAGTTGAGCCGGCTGTCCTGCGGTTGCCCGAATGGCATTTTGACTATTTGGGGGGGGGGGGGGGCGTTGTTTTGTTTTTGGGACTTTCTGGGAATTCTCTCCTGCTTTAGCATATCCTGCGATCCAGCTCAGAATGTTGAGCCGAAAAGATGGTTTATTGTTTTGAGGCCAAATGTGTGATGTATCCAATCAAGGTTTTTTTCTTAAAAAAACAAAACAAAATGAGTTTCTTTAATCCTAGCTTTGCTTAAATCCGATCTATGATGGGTTAATCTTGCCAGGGTTAGATCAAGCCCAAATTCCTGTTTGGTAGATCTTTCGATTTGTATTGTGACCAGAACTGATAGGGTATTCCACCTGTGCTATAAAGTGGTCCAGGTAGTCCATTCATTTACTGATCATTCAAAGCCAGGGCCTTCCAACTTGGCAAGTTTAAGCCTTGTGGACTTCAACTCCCAGAATTCCTGAGCTAACATGACTGGAGGAGGAGGAATTCTGGGAGTTGAAGTCCACAAGGCTTAAAGCTGTCAAGTTTAAAGGCTCCTGATCTATCAACTATCTGTTGATCATCTCTCTCTCTCTCTCTCCCTCCCTCCCTCTCTCTCTCTGTACCTACCTACCTATTTACCTATCTATCAATCTATCTATCAAGGGGCTTCAAACTTGACAGCTTTAAAACTTGTGGATTTCAACTCCCAGAATTCCTGAGCTAACATGACTGGAGGAGGAATTCTGGGAGTTGAAGTCCACCAGTCTTAAAGCTGTCAAGTTTGAAGACCCCTGATCTATCACCTATCATCTCTCTCTCTCTCCCTTTCCGTACCTACCGTATTTAAGTATCATCTATGTATGTATGTATGTATCTATCCTCTGTCATCTATCACAAGGGGCTTCAAACTCGGCAAGTGTAAGACTTGTGGACTTCAACTCCCAGAATTCCTGAGCTAACATGATTGGAGGAGGAGGAGGAGGAATTCTGGGAGCTGAAGTCCACAAGCCTTACACTTGCCAAGTTTTCAGATTCCCTAGTTCAAAGTTTCAATGGCACTGAAAAATACGACTTGTGATCATTTCCCACACTTAAGAACCGTTGCAACATCCTCCTGGTCACCTGATCAAAATTCAGACGCTTGACAACTGGTTCATATTTATGACGGTCGCAGTGTCCGAGGGTCACGTTTATGACCCTTTTATGAACTTTTTGACAGGCAAAGGACAGAATTTGCCTTCGGAAGTTGTGGGAGCTTTCAAGAAGAGACTGGACTGCCACCTGTCAGAAACGGTGTAGGGTCTCCTGCTTGGGTGGGGGGTTGGACTACTAGATGACCTACAAGGATGATCCCCTTTTGCGACCTTCCGGCCAGCAAAGTCCACGGGGGAGGAGCCAGGCTTGCTTAACGACCGTGTGATTCACTTAACGACCGTGGCCCGAAAGGTCGTAAAACGGGCGCAAAGCTGACTTAAACCCTCCCTTAGCCAGAGGAATGTGAGGCTTAGTTTTTGGCTGTAACTCGAGGACTCCCGGTGTATTACGCCAAGTGAGGGCAGAGCCGAGACCGGCCAGCAGGGGGCAGCCGGCGCCATCCGAGGACGAAACTTCTGGTTTCCGGTTTGGGTGAGCTGAGATTCCCAGCCACCCCCCCACCCCTCCGCCCTCCTGCCTGCCCTCCCTCCTCCTCCCCCCCCCCCCCCCCCCCCCCTGAGATTACTCAGCCCCTTTCCTGTAAGCGTAGTAGCAGTAACAACGCAGAAAGCGATTCCTCCTTGCTCAGCCCACGCAAGCTCTCCGGGGTGCTGCAGCTTTGCAGCTTCTTCCTTGCCTGCGTAGTTGCAGGAATAGGTTCCCATTGCAGGAACCGGCCCAGGGGAGGCTTGGGAGCAGCCTTAGAATATTTGAGGGGCTCCTATAAAGAAGGGGGGGGCGGGGGGGGGCTGTTTTCCAACCTGCTCTCCAAAAGCCCCAGAAGGCAGGACGAGAAGCAACGGAGGGAACCACTAATGGAGGAGAGGAGCCAGATGGAACTTAAGGAGGCATTTCCTGAAAGTGACAATGAAACGGTGGAGCTTCTCTCCAGAAGTCCTCCAAACTCCCTCGCAACGCTTATCCTTCTATGATTTTAGGCACTTGGGTGGGGGGTGGGCTAGAAGACCTCCAAGGTCACTTCCAACTCTGTTATCCTGACCCCACTGCATTCAAAGCTCACCCCCCCACCCCCCCACCCCCCGCGTCCACGCTGGCCCCCCTTTATTTTCCTCTCCCTGGAGGCCTGCCTGCCTCCCACACGCCCCTGGCTTGCCTTCAGGGAGGCTTCCATCTCTCTGGCAACCCCACATTCGAGGCTGGCAAAGCTGCAGAACTGAGGGGAAAAATCCATTCCCTTTAGCCAACTGGCCCCAGGCTGAGCCATGGGGAAGGGGGGGGAAGCCCCCCCGCCCCCCCCCCCCCCCCCCCCCTTGCAAAGGGAGGCCAAAATCCAGGCAGAAAAGGGGCCACTCGGTGCCCACTGCCGCCTACGGCTTTGCCAAGCTTTTCCCTGAATTTTTTTTCCCCCATGAGGACTAGAAACTTGGGTTTTGACAACAGCTACTTCCACGATAAGGCTTGAACTTGGAGGCTGGGCCTGCAAGGTGTTTTTTTTGGGGGGGGGGGGGAGAGGCAGATTTGCCTGTGGCCAGAGTGGAGTTTCTGCAGCAGCTGCCCCATTTGTGCCGTGGAATTTGAAGCCAGAATGGTGAGCTGAGCTTGGAAGGGAGGAAAAAAGCAGATTTGATCGCCTAAGTCAGGGCCAACTTTAAGAGGGGTGGACTTCAACCCCCAGAACGCCCCAGCCAGGACTTCAGTTCCCAGAATGCTCCAGCTGGGACTTCAACTCCCAGAATGCCTCAGCCAGGCCTTCAACTCCCAGAATGC